TTCTGTGAAATCTTGTAGTTCTATAGGGGCTGGAATAGCATCTCCCGCTTGATTCAGACGGGCGAATGAGAAGGGATCTGTGGGGTGGAACTTTTTGACTGTCAATAAAAAGGGAAAGACCAAGCCAGTCGGGGAGCGCGGCCATTTGGAATTCTATGCTGTAAGCTCCAGGCCAATGAATAAAGCCCTTCCTCTTATAAACGTGGTGTTTGGGTGCTCTTTCTCTCCACTGAGCCTCATCGTCCTGCAACAACCCCAGACTGTCAGATTAGAGTCACAGCTTTGCAGCTCAACCATGACAATGATGGCTGTGAGTGAGACCCCAGGGAAATGCATCAGAGTACGAGAGCCAGTGAAAATGTTTCAAGGACTTCCAGACATTCCCAGACCAGGTCTTAACACATCCTGAAAGGGAGAGGTGTAGGTACTTTCTTTTCATGGTAAGACTGCTATAACTATTTTTATGTTTATTTTACTTCTGTTGACTCCTTGGTCTTAGAGTATGCTTTTGTTTTTATCTTTGAGACAGTTTCATTCTTGTGCCCAGGCATGAGTGTAGTGTCATCATCATAGCTCACAGCACCCTCACACTCCTGGGCTGAAGAGATCCGATCCTCCTGTCTCAGGCCCCCAAGTAGCTAAAACTACAGGTACCCGCCATGATGCCTGGATAGTTTTTCTATTTTTAGTAGAGATGGGGTCTTGCTCTTGCTCAGGCTGGTCTCAAATTCCTGGCCTCAAGCAATCCTCTCATCTCAGCCTCCCAAAGTGCTAAGATTCCAGGCATGAGCTACCATGCCCAGCCTACAACTATTTTTAATTAATATGTCATCAAGACTTCACACAGACTCACAATGGCCTTTTACCTAAAAGTTAGGCTTTACAATCCTTCCACATATCAGGAAACCTCAGTGGTGGCCTACAGCAGATAACAATGGAACCGCCCTCACAAATTAATGATGGGATACAAGGTAAGAACTGTGGTAAGCACAGGCCCAGCTAAAAATAATAACTGTGATTAGCCACTGTCCCCCTCACCCCACCTCCCATCTGGAGTCACAGAGGAGGTGGTCATAAAGACTTAGTTTCTTCATAAATAATACCACCTTTTTGAAACCGAGGGGTAGTTTTGGAGATATCTTCCATGTCCTTCATTCCAGTGCCTTGGCCACCCACCCAAAAAAGGAACTGACTCAACTGGTCTTGTGACCCAAGAACCTGGTCTGGCATTGCAATGGACCAGCTGACCCCCCCAGACCAGCTGACCATACCAAGGGACTGACGGTTCCATCTCGAACCCACCCAGTTCGCAAACCCAATTGCCTAATCCTTGGCCCACCCAACTGTCCTTAAAATACCTGTCTCCCTTGGCAGGCAGCACCCATAGCTCAGTGTGTAGGGCACCAGCCACATACACGGAGGCTGGTAGATTCAAATCTTGCTGGGGCCAGCTAAAACAACAATGACAACAACAATAAAAAAAAATAGCTGGGCATTGTGGCAGGCACCTGTAGTCCAGCCACTTGGGAGGCTGAGGCAAGAGAATCACTTAAGCCCAAGAGTTTGAAGTTGCTGTGAGCTGTGATGTCACAGCACTCTACTGAGGGTGACATAGTAAGACTCTGTCTCATAAAAACAAAACAAAACAAAAAAACCCTCTCTCCCAAACTCTAGGGGTGGCAGATTTAAGAAATCCCTCCTGCCTCCCTGATTAGAACTATGTGGAATTAAATGCTTTCTCTCCTGTAAACCCTGCTGTCTCAGTGTCACAGCTTCCTCTTGAGACGCAGGCAGAGGAACCTGGTTGGGCAGCAACAGTAATACAGACAGAAAGCCTTACGCATAAAAGGCCCTCAAAAATCACTTGTCTTAATTAAACTGAACGATGGAGCCCTGAAAATTGCCCTGTGCCCACTGCTCCCATTAATGGCATTTACCCATGCGTAGGTTTCCCAGGACCTTGCTTAACAAAACTATTTGAAATATAAAAGAAAAAAAGATATTGATCACCTTTTAACACTCAACAGTAAGATTCAATAAATTACAGAGCATCGGCTCGGTGCCTATAGCTCAACCGGCTAAGGCGCCAGCCACGTACACCTAAGGTGGCAGGTTCGAATCCCCAGCCCAGACCCGCCAAACAACAATGACGGCTG